CCTGTAAGTACCCGCAGCCCCCTGTGCTCTTGGGGGGGGGTCTCTGGGTGTCCCACCGCCCCCCCAATGCCAACCTCTGCCCTCTCCCCACTTTAGGGTCCCCAAGGATTTCAAGGCAACCCCGGTGAGCCCGGTGAACCCGGTGCTGCTGTGAGTGTCCCCTTCTTGTCCCCACTTCTGTCCCCTTTTATGTCCTCCCTCAACTTGGGGACACGCTTCCTGCCCCCCCCTCACCTCACCGCTGTCTCTCTGTCCCTTTTAGGGTCCGATGGGTCCCCGGGGACCTCCGGGACCACCTGGGAAACCCGGTGACGACGTGAGTCCCCCCATAACAGCGGTGCTGAGCGCAGGCGGCTCAGTGCACTGATGCCCCCCGTTTCGAGTGCTGCTTCCTCTCCATTAAAACCCCATTATTTCCCTGCAGGGTGAGACAGGCAAACCCGGCAAATCTGGGGAACGTGGCCCCCCCGGCCCCCAGGTGAGGCAGCACTGAGCTGAAAGCTGCCCCCATCGCTGCCCCCCAACCCTTTTTCTCCCCCCCCTCCCCATCTCAAGTTCACCCTAACCCTATTCTTCCCCGCAGGGCGCTCGTGGCTTCCCTGGGACTCCTGGTCTCCCCGGAGTGAAAGGCCACCGAGTGAGTGCCCCCCACCCCCCACGGCCCCCCCTCACTTACATCCCCCTGTGCCCCCCCCCCCATAACCTTGTTTCTGCCTCTCTCCTTTCCCCATCAACCAGGGTTACCCCGGTTTGGACGGTGCCAAAGGAGAGGCTGGGGCTCCCGGAGCCAAGGTGAGTGGGGGGTGACCACCTCCAGGTGTGGGGATGTGTGCCCCAACCCGGCCTCATCCTCTCTCGACCCTTTTTCTCATATAGGGTGAATCTGGTTCACCGGGTGAGAACGGCTCCCCCGGCCCTATGGTGAGTGCGGGGGGTGGGCAGAAGGGAAACTGAGGCACAGAATGGGGGGTCAGACCCCATAACCTCTGCACTGTTCCCCCTCCACCACGGCAGGGACCCCGTGGGCTGCCTGGAGAGCGAGGACGTCCCGGCCCCTCTGGTGCTGCGGTGAGTGTGACTGTGGCCCTATGGCACAGGGCTGTGGGGGGGGGATTGGGGTGCTGTGACCCCCCCCCATAATTGCCATCTCCCCCCAGGGTGCTCGAGGCAATGACGGCCTCCCCGGCCCTGCTGGACCCCCTGTAAGTATGGAGCCGCTTTGACCCCACACCCCAATATTCTGCTGAACCCCATAGGGGTTCTTTGGGAGCCCCCCCAGCCTGGGCAGCCCCCCCACACTTTCCTGTCCCTCCAGGGACCCGTTGGCCCTGCCGGAGCTCCCGGCTTCCCTGGAGCCCCCGGTTCGAAGGTAAGGGCTGAGCAGAGGGATGCAGGTAGGATTGAGGGAGGGGAAACTGAGGCACGGTGCCCCATCTCACCCCATTTCTCTCCCCCCAGGGTGAAGCCGGCCCCACTGGCGCACGGGGTCCTGAGGGAGCCCAAGGACCCCGCGGTGAATCCGGCACCCCCGGCTCTCCTGGCCCCGCTGGCGCACCCGTAAGTGTCCCCAGTGGTGTCACAGCCCTGGGATGTCCTATCCTCGTGTGATCCCCCTCGGCTCGGGAGCTTTGGGGAGTGTGTGTGGGGGGACCTGAGCATCAGGGGGGTTATCCTGTGCTTGGGGATGGGGAAACTGAGGCACAGGGTGTGAGATGTCTCACTCTTCTTCTTTTAGGGTAACCCTGGGACTGACGGCATCCCCGGTGCCAAGGGCTCAGCGGTGAGTATGGACCAGGGTGGGAAGGAGGGAGGGATCCGGAAG